AACGTCTCTATCACGCTCGCATACTCGCTGCCTCAGCACCCTTCCTCGACACTTTGTTTGGAGGCACACGATTCCCCTTGCGCACCTCGTCCATAGACGGCATAAGCGATTCCTTGGGTGAAAAAGCTGACAGCATGGCGCAAGGAAAAGTGCACGGTGGATAGTGAGTGGCAGAAGGGTAAAAGGCATGGCATGACAAGCTAACACATTCTTGAGACGCGCTCGCAACCTTTTTGCAGCTTCACCAGCTGGAGTATATACGGCAGAGGGTGAGCTATTCGAAATGCTTTGAGAATGTGTATAAGCAGCTCCGAGATGCATCGCTTACATGCGCTCTGCCAAACTCGCGCAACAGCTACAAGCCCAATGCCTTGCCTACCCAGCACCTCACACACATCTTTTACGCCTTTGCTGACATCAAGACGGACAGCGGCACCGTCTTCCTCACAGATCCATGGGCAGATGTACAAATACCTCACGACTCTCCTGCTAGCGACTCAGACCTGCGAGGCAACCTGGGCGCTCTGTTGAAGCACAAGCGCGCAGATCGGACCACAAAGGTCATCCTATCAGTCGGAGGTTGGTCCTTCAGCTCCCACTTTGCTCCCGTCGCAAGCGACCCGCGAAAACGTGCAGAATGCGTACGAAGCGCTGTCGAGCTGCTCGAGGATCACGCTTTTGATGGTTTGGATTGGGATTGGGAGTTTCCCGACAATCCTCAACAGGCAGCAGATTACGTCTCCCTGTTGCGCGAAGTCAGATATGCTTTGGAAAATCATGCACAGCGCAAGAATGAGCCTCGCTATCTGCTCACTGTCGCCGCACCGGCAGGCGAAGAGAAGCTGCAAGTCTTGCGATCGCAGGAAATGGACCGTGAGTGGCGAGGCTAGCATACATCCTCAGACTACAGCTGCTGACGAGGTTGTCGCAATGAATGCAGAGGTGCTGGACTATTGGAACGTCATGACGTACGACTTTGCCGGCTCGTGGGATGAGCGCGCCGGTCATCAAGTGAGCACAGTCGAACGAATCGCGTGATCGAGATTCAGCCGCGGCTCTGACACCGAAGATGCACTCTCAGGCTACTCTCAGAGGTCCGGCACCAAGTTGCGAAGCCACAGTGGCTACGTTTGGTCGCTTTGGCGTGCCGCCTCACAAGCTGGTCCTCGGTATACCGCTGTATGGTCGGGTGAGTATGCTTGCCTACTCGGCGTTACATTCTCGTAATCTCATCGAGTCTCTTCACCACATGTGGCGAAAAAGTCATTCTTGAAATGCGGAGGTCCTGGGTCGTCTTTCAAAGGCGTTGGGAAGGGCACGCACGAAGCTGGCCTGTACGACTATAGAGCCTTGCCTCTGCCAGGTGCGCACGAAGAGCTTCATCCTTGCGAAGCTGCGAGCTGCAGGACCTCCGATGGTGAATGGGTCACGTATGACACTCCATTCACTGCCAGGGACAAAGCAGGATATGTCAAGTGGGCCGGACTCGCTGGCGCGTTCTACTGGGATCTCAGCGGCGATGCCGAGGGTCAGCGCGCCATCGTTCCTGCCGTGGCTCAAGAGGTGAGTAAGGCACGCCGGTGCGTGCGGTGAGTAGAAAGACCGCCAAGTTGTAGTGTGGACAGACCTTTCCGCTGTGCCATACGTGACTGACTCTCGCTTCCGCGAAATGCAGCTTGGTCAACTCGACCAGACTCCGAATCACCTCTCTTACAACTGGAGCAAGTATGCCAACGTTCGGGAAGGCCGTCCCTGAGCTAACCGTACCATTACTTCCAAGTGTCGTGACGTCCACCCTGCGGAGCAGGAATGCGCAATGCGCCATCAACTTGATGTGTGGTGTAGCGGGCTATGTGTGATGTGATTAGAATGTGCGCTTATCTTGACCGAATACAGGACGTGGTCTCTGTTCCTTGGGTCCAGGTCTGAGCAACTTTTCCACCGCTTCCTTCTCCGCCAAGTCTCTTTGTCTCTCCTTCTCTTCCGCCTCTGCCATCCTCTGAGCAAACTCGGCTCGAGTAGTGTCCTGATCCGCGCTCGCCTTTTCGACTTGCCGATTGGTTGGAGGTCTACCTGGAACACTGGCCACCTTGACAGACTCGGGTGTGGATTGAGCTGCTTCGCCTGGTTTGAGGAGGAGCATACCTGCTACTGCTCCCAGAACTGTGAGACCCTGTAGCCCCACGCGCCATCTCAGGGCGATCTGAAAGTTCCTCCTGTCCCCTTTGCGCAAGGCATACGAAGCCCAAAGTAGTGCGCCGCAAGTGGCCAAGCAGCCTAAAGAGTATGCCAGTGGAGGGACGTTGAATGGGTGAGCGACCAACTGTTGAGACCTGCTCGCAAGCTACGAGGGGGCAATCGCTTTGCTGATGCCTTGCGTCACTTACCAATGGGCACGATCGGCTCTTGCTTCAGCTTTCTCCACAGCTTGTCCTTTGGCAATTCGACAGCCGCGGCAGGCGCGCTCGGCGGCCCAGGCACTTGCGACATTCCGAAGCAGTGTCACGCAATGTGTTGACAATCGACTTGAGGCAGTGTGTAAGCGCTGATAGCCTCTGCAGAATGAGTGGAGAGGCTCAATCGAGTCTTGGGTGATGAATGGCGGGCGGGAAGGCGAATCATCAGCTTGGCTAAGCAGTTCGGGATCTAGGGATCTAGAATCATGAATCCACCCAGCAGGCGCTCGCGAGAGAGCTTGCAGGTGGAGAAGACCACGTGATCTCTGTCTCTCTTATCACGTGATTGCTTGTCCGGCCTATTCTTGATTCCCGCGCGCTGCCGACCCTAGCTGTTTCCCCGACCAAAAGGTCTTGGACTCTCGATCGCTTCCGGCCGAAGCTCAGACAATCGTGAATCACTGCAGATCCAAAAAAAAAATCAC